CAAGTGGCAGTTCAGCCACTGTGCCACAACACTAGCCTTCAATGAAATAACTTTTCTCTTTTTTTTTTTATAAGATTTATTTATTTATTTGAAAGAGTTACAGAGTGAGAGAGGTAGAGGGAAAGAGAGCAGAGAGAGATTTTCCATTTGCTTGTTCATTCCACCAAATGGCCACAATGACCAGGGCTGCGCCAGGTCAAAGCCAGGAGCCAGGAGCTTCATCCGTGCCTCCCACGAGGGTGCAGGGGCCCAAGGACTTGGGTCATCTTCTGCTGCTTTCCCAGGCACATTATCAGGGCGCTGGATTGGAAGTGGAGCAGCTAGGACATGAATCAGTACCCATATGGGATGCTGATGCTGCAGACAGTGGCTTACCCCCACTGTACCACAGCACCAGCCCCAGTGAAATAACTTTTTAAACAACTTGCTTCAGGGAGGTGATAAATGATCATATTTCAAGTAGTTTATGCTGTTTAAGATCTTAAAATTATTGAAAAATCAAATTTTTAAAAATATAGCCAATATATAAATTGCATATTATTTACCTACAATAAAGAATTTTTACTAGAAGTGTTTGCATTGAACCTATAGATTAAATCCCATTGTTGTAAATTCCAAGATAATACACAGATTTTTTTTTTTTTTTTTTTTTTTTTTTGACAGGCAGAGTGGACAGTGAGAGAGAGAGACAGAGAGAAAGGTCTTCCTTTGCCGTTGGTTCACCCTCCAATGGCCGCCGCAGCCGGCGCGCTGCGGCCGGCGCACCGCACTGATCCGATGGCAGGAGCCAGGAGCCAGGTGCTTTTCCTGGTCTCCCATGGGGTGCAGGGCCCAAGCACCTGGGCCATCCTCCACTGCACTCCCTGGCCACAGCAGAGGGCTGGCCTGGAAGAGGGGCAACCGGGACAGAATCCGGCGCCCCGACCGGGACTAGAACCCGGTGTGCCGGCGCCGCTAGGCGGAGGATTAGCCCAGTGAGCCGCGGCGCCGGCAGATAATACACAGATTCTAAAACATAAACAGCCCTGGAGCTTGACAACTGTTTTGTGTTTTAAACATATGAGTGTTATGCAATCTAATCTCTACTTGTAAACCTGTGTACAGGTGTAAATGAGGAACCAGAAACTACTGACAGTGATAAGGTACATCAACACTCCCTGGTATTGAAAGTAATGATTTTGGGGCTGGTGCCATGGCTCACTTGGTTAATCCTCCGCCTGCAGCGCCGGCATCCCATATGGGCGCCGGGTTCTAGTCCCGGTCGCTCCTCTTCCAATCCAGCTTTCTGCTGTGGCCCTGGAGGGCAGTGGAAGATGGCTCAAGTGCTTGGGCCCCTGCATCTGCATGGGAGACCTGAAAGAAGCACCTGGCTCCCTGGCTTCTGATTGGCGCAGCGCCAGCTGTGGCGGCCATTTGGGGAGTAAACCAATGGAAGGAAGAACTTTCTGTCTCTCTCACTGTCTATAACTGTACCTGTCAAAAAAAAAAAGTAATGATTGTGATGTTTAGTATCTGCTTCCCTGTGTTAGACTCTATGTCTGCCAAATGAACTCAGCACTTTATAAAGCTGTATGTTACTGAGTACCTTACACTAAAGGACATAATGTTGTTAAGCATTATAGTTTCATGGGCCATTATTAAATTTTCAAGGTTTTCAGTATAGTGGAGTTTGTTGAAATAGGATTTGACCTCTCTTGAAATTGTGTGCCTGAACTTGGGGTACCTGTCTTTTCACTCATTCTTTCTTGAAATAAACATGATAAAATATAACTTTCAAAAGGAGTTTACATTTTTCATAATAGCAAACTATATTTGAACTTATAAAATAAACTTTGGAGAAAATAAAAAATAAAACATGAGCCGGCGCCGTGGCTCAATAGGCTAATCCTCCACCTTGCGGCGCCGGCACACCGGGTTCTAGTCCCGGTCAGGGCGCCGGATTCTGTCCCGGTTGCCCCTCTTCCAGGCCAGCTCTCTGCTATGGCCAGGGAGTGCAGTGGAGGATGGCCCAGGTGCTTGGGCCCTGCACCCCATGGGAGACCAGGAGAAGCACCTGGCTCCTGGCTCCTGCCATCGGATCAGCGCGGTGCGCCGGCTGCAGCGGCGGCCCATTGGAGGGGTGAACCAACGGCAAAAGGGAAGACCTTTTCTCTCTCTGTCTCTCTCTCTCACTGTCACTCTGCCCTGTCAGAAAAAAAAAAAAATAAAACAGTAATGAGACAATTCAGGTACTTTGATTTTTCTCTTAGTGAGGCAGAACCAAGAAATGTATTCGTGAATCATGAGCAATTTAAGTTTATAAAGAATATTCTGATAGTTGAACTTTGATGAGTTTCCCTTCTTTGAATACATATGTATTTTTTAAGATTTATTTATTTATTTAAACTCCTCAAATGCATGCAACATCTAGGGCTGGGCCAGGACAAAGACAGGAGCCAGGAACTTTGTCCAGGTCTTTCACTTGGGTGCCAGGGACCAAGTACTTATGTTATCATCTGCTGCTGTCCCAGGCATGTTAGCAGGAAGCTAGATCCGGAATCTGAGCAGCCAGAACAGGAACCAGCATTCTAATATGTTGTAAACAGTGGCTTAAGATACTGCACTTCAATGCTGGCCCTGTATACCTTACAAATTTGAGAAATTTTAAATCTATTTTGCTTCCTGTTTGAAGAGTTTTCTGGTAGTAAGCTTTGTTCTCAGGGTAGGAAAATCTGAGTACAGATTATATTGTGTGTTCGTCACTACCAGTAATGCAGCAGAAAGTTTCAGGGTACTATTTTTGCACTTCATTGACAGTTCTGATTAATTTGGTACAAACTAATCTAGATTCTGTTGTTCTGATTCCTTTATAGGGATTAAAATAAAAATTGGTAAGAAGTCATTGCTCTTGAGATTTTGTTCTATTTTAAATAAATAAAATCCTTTTTGGAAATGAGCTAGAATTTCACATACAAAGGGCAGCAGTGTGCTTTATTTTTGGATTTATTTATTTGAAAGGCAGCACGTGGGGCCAGGGAAGTTCTTCCATCTACTGGTTCACTCCACAAATTCCCACAACATCCAGGGCTGGGCTAGGGCAAAGACAGGAGTCAGGATCTCCATCCAGGTCTCCCACAAGACTAGTGGGGACCCAAGCACATGGCCCACCATTCACTGCCTTACCAGGTGAATTAGCTGGAAACTGGATTAGAAGTGGAGCATCTGAGACTTGAACCAGCACTCTGAAATTGGATACCAATATTGCAAGCATCAGCTGAACCTGCATGTCAAAACACCAGAAGATGTACTACAAGGAATAGATCTGTTTGTTTCTGTCTTTTTTTTTTTTTTTTAAAGATTCATTTATTTATTTATTTGAAAGGCTGAGTTACAGAGAGGCAGAGGCAGAGAGAGAGAGAGCACTTCCATCCGCTGGTTCACTTCCCAAATGGCTACAACAGCCAGGGCTGGGACAGATCAAAGCCAGGAGCCAGGAGCTTCTGGGTCTCCTAGGTGGGTACAGGGACCAAGCACTTTGGCCATCTTCCAGGCACATTGGCAGAGAGCTAGATCGGAAGTGGAGCAGCCAGGATTTGAACTGACACCTATATGGGATGCTGGTGCAGCAGGTGGCAACTTAACTTGCTACGCCACAGCGCCAGCCCCAGATCTGTTTCTTAAGGTTCTAGGAAATATCCATGCAATCTATTTTTTCATAGCCATTTTTCAATAGAGTGGAGGACACTTAGTTTTTTGGATCTTGAACAAGTGATTAGGATTCTCACATCCTTTATGACCTTCTGATATGTGAAGAGATAAAAAGCCTGACTTGGACAGGCATTTAGAATGGTCACTGCCTGGGACATTGGCATCCTATGTAGAGTGCCTGGTTCAAATCCCAGCTATTATTCCATTGCAGCTTCTTGCTTATGCATACACAGAGAGGCTGCAGGTGATGGCTCAAGTACTTGGGTTCCAGCCACTCATTTAGGAAACCCAGATACCCAGAGGGAATTCCCTACTCCTGGCTTTGGCTTGGCCCTGCCCAGACTATTGTGGACATTTGAGAAGTGAGCCAATGGTTGGAAGATCAGTTTCTCTTTCTGTTTCTTTGCATTTCCAATGAAACAAGACTATCTAGCCTTGTTTTATTTTTAGCTGTGAATTAGTATGATGTACTGTGGGTGCCACCTTCCTGTGGATGTTTGTGGCATGAAATTCACCTTTTACTCATAAATAAGTTGAGATGGTTAAAAATTGAATCTGAAAATTGGCTTTTCTGATCTATACAAGAGATGGTATCCTTTTGTCCCCCTTCACTACTATAATTTGCTGAATTTCATGTGGAGCCTTCTGCTGCAGGTGCTGTAATGATTCTGAAATAGTTGCTTGTACTCTTTGGTCTAGGATTTTTGGTTTGAGAGTTACTTATCTATTTTGATTAGTCAAGGATGGTTGCCTCCTATTTCCAAACACATATAGTAATTCAATATGTTTTTCATTAATTTTGTTTTCCAACTTAGATATATTTCTTGCAAAACACTCTCCCAAGTTCTTTCCACATAGTTAGTAATGTGTTAAAATTGTTGCTCTCATTATTCATTATTCTCTGATTCTCATTATTCAAATCTTTGTAAAAATGTACAGTAGAACTGGTGAACTCCATGTGCTGGAGTGAGACTGTTAATTTAATAGTTTATTTCCTTCATATTATTTCATCTCAAAAATCATAATAGAATCTTAGGAAAGACAGAGTTTCATAAAAGGATCTACAAGTAATATCTCAAAATTTTCATTGTTTTTTATTATGCTGTAGATTTCTTTTTGCAAATTTAAGTATCTTTAGCCGTAATCAACTCCATTTTATTGTTATATTGCAGGTTGTTGTTTTCCTCAAAAGTAAAATCTTCATAATCCTTTAATAGCCAGATATTATAATTATAATGTTCTTCTTAAAGTTTTATTTGCATGTTTTTTAAATAATTATTGATCTTTTTCTTCTCTTCCCCTCTGTTGTTTAGTCCAAAAGAATCTCTCCCTTCAAAACCTGTAAAGAAAGAGAAGGAACAGAGGACACGACATTTACTCACAGACCTCCCTCTCCCTCCTGAACTCCCTGGTGGAGATCCATCCCCCCCAGACTCTCCAGAACCAAAGGCAATCACACCACCTCAACAACCATATAAAAAGAGACCAAAGTAAGTTTTTGGAAGGATCTATACTTAATTACAGGCTTTTTTCTTGCTTTTAAGCCTAAATGTCACATGTATCTTATAAAACCCATACCACTAAGATCATAAAAGGTTGGCCCTAAAGTGTATTTTTTATTTTATTTTAGTGGACAGAAGTGTTTCTATGAGACCCATTTATCTGCACTTATAAATACCTAGCTGTGTTTTTAGAAAAATATATTCTCATATCCACATATATATTGAACACTTACCTTTTTGTATCTTTTTAGTTTCTACTAAAAATGTCAAAGAAGGAAAAGCCTTTTTTTTCACGATGTGTCAACCATGTACATATTAATGAAATTAATAAATGTGAGTTTTTTGAGTATGTATTTATTTGAGGGTAAGAGTTACAAAGAGAGAGGGAGAGACAGAGAGATCTTCCATCCACTGGTTTGCTCCCCAAATGGCTGCAACTGCCAGGGCCAGGCCGGGCTGAAGCTGGGTCTTCCACATTAGTGGCAGGGGCCCCAAGCATCCAGGCCATCTGCCACTGCTTTCCTAGTTACATTAGCAGAGAGCTGGATTGGAAGTGTAGCAACCAGGACTTGAATCAGCACCCATATAGGACGCCAGCAAAACAAGCAGCAGCTTACCTGCAATACCATGATCCAGCCCCAAATGTACTTTTTTTTTTTTTTTTTAAGATTGATTGATGATTGATTTGAAAGGCAGAGTTACAGAGAGGCAGAAAGAGAGAGGTCTTCCATCGGCTGGTTCACACCTCAGATGGCTGCAATGGCCAGAGCTTCAGTGATCTGAAGCCAGGAGCCAGGAGCTTCTTCTGGGTCTCCCGTGTGGCGTGTGGGTGCAGGGGCCCAAGGACTTGGGCCATCTTCCACTGCTTTCCCAGGTCATCACAGAGAGCTAGATCAGAAGTGGAGCAGCTGAGACTTGAACCGGCGCCCGTATGGGATGCCAGCGCTGGATGCAGCGGCTTTACCTGCTACACCACAGTGCTGGCCCCCTAAATGTACTTTTTTAAAGGATATAAATTTCCGTGCCATAAATTTAGTATGAACTTGGTCTGATGTTCTGATTATTAAGGCTCTTCTTTTAATAATAAAAATATATTGAAAATATATTATTGCCAAAGTTTCCTATTTTCATGGTATCCTATGATTTATGGATTTTCTTTTCATTTTATAGTTGAAGGCAATACTCGAGAGGTCAGAAAATAAGCAAAATTCATTTGATTGTTATGTCTTGCTAGAATCCAGAACTCTTAGCCACTGTGAGAGACTAAACTATTTATTCTATATCATTTAATATCTGTCTTTTTAATAAAAAAGTTCATAGAAGGTACAGGAGGTATTGAAATAATTACAAAAGGATAACCTTTTGCTGTTTTTATTTTAGAATTTGTTGTCCACGGTATGGAGAGAGAAGGCAAACTGAAAGCGACTGGGGGAAGCGCTGTGTGGACAAGTTTGACATTATTGGGATTATTGGTGAGGGAACCTATGGCCAAGTATATAAAGCCAAGGACAAAGATACTGGTAAATATTTCCACAAAGTTTATCTGTCAGAATTAACAATTTAGCAATGCTAATGTCTTTTATGCAAATTGGATTTAGAGCAAATAAAGTGTCCCAAAAGAATATATAATCTACCAGGGATGAGTTCCAGGACACCCTTATTAACTCTGTGGTATTGGTTCCAGGACATCCCTTTCCCATGACAAAATCTGCAGATACTTCCAAGTTTCTTTTATAAAATGGCATAGTATTTGCATATAACCTATCCATACCCTCCTGTGTACTTTTAAGTCATCTCTAGCAGACTTCTGTTACCCAATATAATGTAAATGCTTTGTGAATAGTTGTTTTACTATCTTGTTTAAGGTATAATGATAAGAGAAATAGTCTTTACTTGTTAAGTACAGACACAATTTTATTTCCCTCAAATATTTTTGAACCATAATTGATTGAATAATTCATGGATATGGAACTTAAAAGATATGAAGGACTCAACTGAATAATTATTACTGTTTTAAATGTTTTCCTAAGATTGATTGATTTATTTGAAAGGCAGAGTGACAGAGAGATCATCCATCCACTGGTTCACTCCCGAAATGATCACAATGGCCAGGGCTGGGCCAGGCCGAATACAGGAGCCAGAAACTCCATCCACATCTCCCAAATGGAAGACAGGAATTCAAGTACTTGAGATCTGTTTCCCAGGTGCTTTAGCAGGCAGCTGCATCAGAAGTGGAATAGCCAGGACTTGAACTGGTACTCTGATATGGGATACAGTAGCATCCTAATTTGTTGTGTCATAATACCCACTCCATTACTGTTTTAAAGCCCTCCTTTTGGGGTGGGCATTGTGGCACAGTATATTAAGCCTCTGCTTGACACACTGGCATCCTGTTTTGGAGTGCCAGTTTTAGTCCTGGCTGCTCTACTTCTGATCCAGCTCCCTGCTAATATGCCACAGAAAACAGTGGATAGCAGCCCAAAGACTTGAGCCCCTGCAACCCATGTGAGAAATGCACATGGAGTTCCAGGCTCCTGACTTCATCCTAGCCCAGCTCCAGCTATTGTGGCCCTTTGGAGAATGAACCAGCGGATGACAGATCTCTCTGCCACTCTGCCTTTCAAGTAAATAACTGAATAAATCTTTAAACAAAAACAAAAACTCTTTTTGAAACATTCTATAGCTTGCTAATTTTTTTATTTATTTTCTTTTTTTTTTGTTTATTTTATTTTAAGGAAAAGGGTTTATTGGGAAAAATCCAGCAGGCCGGAAGGAAGGAACGAGGAAGGAAAAAGAGAGAGTAAGAGAGAGAGAGAGGAGAGAAGAGAAGAGAGAGGAGAGGAGCTAGCGAATAGAGAGCAAGCGAGAAACGAGCAAGAGAAGAGAGCAGAGAGCTAATAATTTTTTTTAACAAATAAAGTTTATAGGTCTTTGTTAGGGAATGGGGATCTTTTTTGAAAATAAAATGAATAATTTGAATTACATTTTTAAAAAATTTTCCATGCTTTATTTATTTGAAAGAGAGACAGATAGTCACAAAGAGATTGCCTATCCTGCTTCACTCCCCAAATACCCACAACAGCCAAGACTAAGCCAGGCCAATGCCAAAAGCCAGGAACCCAACCCAGGTCTCCCTTATGAGTATCAGGGACCAACTACTTGAGCCATCTGCCAAAAAAAAGCTAGGATCAAGAGTAGAGCTGAGACTCAAACATATACACTCCAATATGTGATGTGGATATCCAAAGTGGTGTCTTAACTGCTATGCCAAATGGCCACTCTTGATATATTTCAATAATGGAATATTTTTAGGCCTATCTGAATAGTGAATTAAAAATAAACTCCAGTGGAGCCAGTGTTGTGATGCAACAGGTTAAGTAGTTACTCATGATGCTGGCGTCTGTTATTGAGTTCTGAATGCTCTGCTTTCTATCCATTTCCCTGCTGATATGCCTGAGAAAGCAGTAGAAAGTGACCTGCTCACCGACATGAGAGACCTGGATAGATTTCCAGGCTCCTGGCTTTTTCCTGGCTATTGTGGTCACTTAGGGGAAGAACCAGCAGCAGATAGATGTCCTCCTCCCCCAGTTTCTCTACTTTTACTTTTTCTCTATCCTTCTGTCTTTCAAATAAAATATGTAAATCTGAAAGAGATAGGAGAAATTCCTAAGGCTTAAAAAAAAATCAAAGGCTATCTTTCAGGGCAAAATATGTATTGTTGGTTTATAATGGTGACTAAAAAATGCTAATTGATTATGATAACACTTTGAATTTGTTTGGCAGGAGAACTGGTGGCTCTGAAAAAGGTGAGACTAGACAATGAGAAAGAGGGCTTCCCAATCACAGCCATTCGTGAGATCAAAATTCTTCGTCAGTTAATCCATCGGAGTGTTGTTAACATGAAGGAAATTGTCACAGATAAACAAGATGCATTGGATTTCAAGAAGGACAAAGGTACAGCAAAGAATCACGTTTCTACAGGGTAGATTAGCATAATCTTGTTTTTCTTTCTTTTGCTTGTTTTTGTGAATTTTCAGATAGATTGGGCTAAAGTCTGGTTTCTATCTATATTCCCATAGCAGAATTAAGATGTTGGCAGATTGCTTTTGTGCTGAACAGTGCTTGTTTTATAAAATGTCCACTCTTCATCAAAATACTCTATACTTCTGAAAATCATTCTTAATTAGTCAAATATGCATTAGGTAGGTAGAGTCTGCTGTAACATCTAATAAAGCCTGCAGGTAGATAATTTAAGATGTTCTGCCAACCAACTGTTCTCAAGTTTTTGAAGTCTCTTTTCCCGCTCTCTTTTTCTTTTCTTTTTTTTTTTTTTTTTCAAATTATAAAATAGTAGTGGAAATTAAAGCCAAGTTAATCAGTTACTATCATTTTTACATCTTTCCTTCTGGTTATTGTCTATATGTATCCATATTTTTACATAGTTTTGCATTAATGCATTTTAGAATTCAAAACGGGTTTTTTTTTGTTTGTTTTTTGTTTTGTTTTAGATTTATTTATTTGTTTGAAAAGCAGAGTTACAGAGAGAAAGAGAGATCTTGCATCCACTGGTTCACTGCTCAAATGGCCACAATGGCTGGGCCAGGCCAAAGGCAGGAGCCAGGAGCTTCTTCCAGGTCTCCCACATGGGGACAGGGGCCCAAGCACTTGGGTCATCTTCCATGGTTTCCTAGACTCAATAGCAGGGAGCTGGATCGAATGTGAAGCAACTGGGACTTAAACCAGCACCCCGTAGTGGATGCCAGTGAGTGTCTCAGGCAGGGGCTTAAGCTGCTACACAACAACTGGGTCACATTTATTTCTAAAACAGTCTTTATCAGGAGGTTCACACAGTGGTTTGATTTCCTGGAGTTGTAACTTTTGTGTTTGCTTGAGAGAGAAAATTGTTTATTATTTCCACACTTAGTTTGAAGTAATCTACATATGACATAATCCAACCTACTTTTATTATTCTTTAAATTTTATTTGAAAGGTAGACAGAGATTGTCCTTCTACTGGTTCACTCCCCAAATGCCTTCAACAGCCAGGGCTAGGCCAGGCTGAAGCCAGGAGTCCAGTGCTCTTAACCATATCTCTCAGGTAGATGGCTGGGACTCAAGTACTTGAGTCATCTACTGCCTCCCAGGATGCACATTAGTGGGATGCTGGATCAGAAGTAGTACTACCTGGGATTTGAACCAGGCACTCTGACATGGGTTATAGGCATCACATGTAGTGACTTAAGCTGCTGTGCCAAGCACTCATTCCCCAGTCTACTTTTATTAAAGCAATTCTGAAGGTTTAGAGGTGGGCAGTAGATTTTAGGGTCAAGTGATGACATGGCATCTAGGAATATAGTCTGGCGTAGTAAAAGAGAATTTGATTGAAGTATATAAAACTAGGAGGCAATGACTAAAGTAAAATTGGGTTTATTTACAGAACCATAAGAATATTATGCCTTGGGGAACAGCATATCTTGAGCTTAATGGAGATAGTTTTAAAGCAAATAAAATGAAATTTTGATTATACAATAATATTTAGGCAAATTAATATGAATAGAATTAAGAAATAGTAGGAATGAATGGGCATTGTAGTGCGTCAAGTGAAGCTGCCACTTGGGACACCCACATCCCGTATCAGTGCCAGTTTGAGTCCTGGCTGCTGTGCTTCTGAACCACCTCCCTACTAATTCCATGTAAAGCAGTAGATGATGGCTCAAGTACCACATGGGAAATCTGGATGGAGTTCCTGGCTCCTGGCTTTGGCCTGTTCCAACCCTGGCTGTAATGACCATTTGGGAAGTGAACCAGCACATGGAAAATTTCGCCATGTCTTTGTTTCTCTGTCACTCTACTATTCAAATAAATATTTTTTGTTTAACGTATACTAGATGTATTTCTGGGAATTTTTAAATTTTTTCTGCTTTTTATAGGATACATGTAGCTAGTTTCTGTAAGGACACAGAAGAAAATGCTAATTTGTTGCTTCTGAGTAGGGGCTTATTTTTCATCGATGCCATTTTGTACCATTTAAATAATTTTCTATGTATTGCTTAAGCTCTTTTACAAATTTATAAGGGGCTAGCATTGTGGCGCAGTGGGTTAAAATAGGCTGCTGCCTGTGACACTGGCATTCCATATTCGAGTGCCGGTTCAAGTCCTGGCTGCTCTGCTTCCAATCCAGCTCCCTGTTAATGCTCCTGGAAAGGTAACAGAAAATGACCAAAGTGCTTGGGCCCCTGCCATCCATGTGGAAGACCTGGATGGAGTTCCTGGTTCTTGCTTTGGCTTAGCCCAGCCCCAGCCATTGGGGCCATTTGGGTAGTGAACTAGTGGATAGAAGGTCAGTTTTTCTCTCCGCGCACACACACACACCCCATCCCTCTATAACTGCTTTCAGATAAATAAATAATTATTTTTTAACAAATAAAATATTATAAGACAGTAAGCCAATCAATGTTGTAATTCATACCGTTGTGGAAAAATTGAAACTATAGAAGAATAAAATAAAATGGCAATCACTTTTCTCTAACTTCATCCCAATATACCATGGAAAATCACCATAATATTAACATTTTGGTATATTTACTTCTGGTAGTTTCTACTGTACATATTATATTTGTTTTAACATAACTGAGGTCAAAGTATATTTAATGTATAACTTGTCATAAGCAACAAGCAATTTCTCATTATTAGCATGTTTTAATAGCATTAAGAAACATATCCAAACTATTTTTCCACCCAGTCCCTTTGTCTACTGGTTCACTCCCTAAGTGGCTGGGGCACTGGCCAAAGCCAGGAGCCTAGAATTCCATCTGGGTCTCCCACGTGGTTGGCAGGGGCCCAAACCCTTGGGCCATCTTTTGCTGCCTTCCCAAGAGCATTAGCAGAGATCTAGAAGTGGAGTGCCAAGGACTCGAATCTGCACTCTGATATGGGATGTTGTCATCATAGGTGGCAGCTTAACCCACTACACCACAATACCAGCCACTAGTTATCAGTTTTTATATTATAATAGGGATGGGTGTTTGTCACAGCCGTTAAGTCAGCACTTAAGGTACATGTATCTCATATTGAAGTGCCTGGGTTCAAGTCTGGGCTCTGCTTCCAATTCCAGCTTCCTGCTAATATCCCCCAGAAGGCAGAAGGTTATGGCTCAAGTAGTTGGGCCCTTGCCACCCATGTGGGAGTCCTGAATTGAGTTCTTGGCCCCTAGCTTCTGCCTGGTCCATTCTCAGCTGTTGTGGGCATTTGAAGAATAAACCAGTAGGTTTAAAGTCTTGCTCTCTCTCTCTCTCTTTCTCTTTGTCTTTCAAATAAATAAAAATAGGTTAAGAATTATTTTGAAAAAAAGTATTTTAGTAACACTGCCTTGAGTGTCTTTGGTAGTGCATAAATTTTTGTATTATGATTTATTTTCTTAGTGTAGCTTTTTAGATATGGAGTTATTTGTTCAAGGAGATTTTCATATTTAATGTTAGATGGCTTATAAAAAATGATAGTAACAATTTATTTCTCATCAGTGAGTGCCCATCACCCTTTATCTTACCCAGTGTTGAGTACAGTCTTGTACCTCATGATGTTGTTTTGGTCCACAACAGACTGCATATCCAACAATATTTAAGGAGTCTTTTAAAAGGTCACAGAAAAATGTGTATTTTGAAAAAAACTGCATGGGTTTCAAAATTTTTTGCATAGAACAAACTTGTTTTAATTTCATTTTTCCATGAAACTTTGATGTGCCTTGCATATCATAGATCGTAAGTGTGTAGTAAGCAATACTAAGTAAGTTTGTGTAAGTACATCTGATTTTCACATGTCAGAATTTCCTGATAACACATTTCTCACAGAGTATTCCCGTAGTTAAACAATACATGGTTGCATCTTTTTAAAACATTGTCATGTGGATAGATGAAGTATATGATACCATTCTGGATTGCATTCCTTGTATTTACTTCTGAGGTTTTTTGCTGTGTTTCTTAGTTTTACTTACTTTCTCATTTCTGAGATGTCCTTTATCTGCTTATCTTCTACAGTTTTATTTTTTATTTTTTAAAGACTCTTCTGCAGGTTTTTTTTTTTTTTTTTTTTTTGACAGGCAGAGTGGACAGTGAGAGAGAGAGACAGAAAGGTCTTCCTTTGCCCTCCAATGGCCGCAACGGCCGGCGCACTGCGCTGATCCGAAAGCAGGAGCCAGGTGCTTCTGGTCTCCCATGGGGTGCAGGGCCCAAGCACTTGGGCCATCCTCCACTGCACTCCCGGGCCACAGCAGAGAGCTGGCCTGGAAGAGGGGCAACCGAGACAGAATCCGGTGCCCCAACCAGGACTAGAACCTGGTGTGCCGGCGCCACAAGGTGGAGGATTAGCCTATTAAGCCGCGGCGCCGGCCTCTTCTGCAGTTTTAAACCAATTTTTTCTTATTCATTTGTGTAAGGTCTTAGGTTAAACCCTATAAAATATTCCTTTAATGCATTGTTTATTAATTTTATTGGGTCATGGACTTCTTTGAACATTTTAAGGAAAGAAAAAGTGTTTAAAATTTTGCATACTATTTCAGGAAGTTCAAAGATTCCTTGTAACCTACCCCCTAGATTTAGAATTCCTACCATTTTGCTACTAATAGAATTTTATTTTTTTAAGCGTATTTTATTTTATTTATTTGAAAGAGAAACAGATCTCCTATCCACTAGTTCATTCCCCAAATGCCTGCAGCAGCTGGGGCTGTGCCAGGTCAAAGCCAAGAGCTGGGAATTCAGTCTAGGTTTTCCATGTGGGAGGCAGGGACCCAGCTACTTCAGCCATCACTTGCTGCCACCCAAGGTGCACCTTAGCAGAAAACTAGAATCAGGAGCAGAGCTGGGACTCAAATCTAGGCATTCCAATATCCAGTGTGGCCATCCCAAGTGATGTCTTAACTACTGCCCCAAATGTCTGCTAGTAGGAAGAATTTTAGACTGGATAGATCAGGTCTAATTTTTATTATGTCACAGTATTTGCCTCTGTCATGTACTCTGCCAAAAGTAGAAAGAGTGTGAATTTTAAGTCACAACTATTCTCTTAACATACTTCTCACTCTTTATCTGCATGATGAATTAGATGATTCATCTTTTAATTCTTAAATACTATGAATTTTAGTAATTTATACCAAATAAACTGTGTGACCCCTGGCATATTATGTGAGTCCTATTAACTAAAGACTTAACAGAAGTAAACAATAGGTAACAAATTGGCATGGTTGTTTTACAAATAGAACTTTATTTACAACAGGCAGCAGACTGGATTTGTCCCAAGGTCCCTAATTTACTGATTGACTTAGCTCATGAAAGTCTAGTAATACATCCAGATCATGACAGTTGTTCCCTCAATACGTAAGTAGTCCAAAGAGCACTGGATTAAGAGTCAGAAGGTTAATTAAGATGGCTTCTGGTAGTTATTATTAAAGAAGGCAGATTTTTCAATGGATCTTAGTTTTACTTTCTTCATCTATAATATAAAGACAGCCTTGGGGTCAACTCCAAAATTATATTTAAATTTGAGGCAGTGTGATTTCATCATCCTTTGTTTCTTGTTTTTAATTTTTTTCCCATATTACACAGGTGCCTTTTACCTTGTATTTGAATACATGGACCATGACTTAATGGGACTGCTAGAATCTGGTTTGGTGCACTTTTCTGAGGACCATATCAAGTCATTCATGAAACAGCTGATGGAAGGATTGGATTACTGTCACAAAAAGAATTTCCTGCATCGGGATATTAAGTGTTCTAACATTTTGCTGAATAACAGGTAACATAGTAACCAAATTAGTTAACCACTTTCTGAGTTACAGCTAGTTTGGATTATAGGTAGGCCCAGTAGTATATTTTTTGCATTTATATACATCTGATGTTTGTACCGTAGGAAAATCTTAGGTACAGGTACTCTAATCAGCAGAGCCTCCAGACTCAATGTTGGTAAGGATTAACAAAGGTAGAGACTCGCTCAAGTCCCATATGAATGAAAGCTTTTTGCTAGTCACTAAATAATACTGTGGCCCTAAGCAAATTAAAACACATGTTGAGTCCTCTTGTTTAGTGAGGAGAAATACTTTTGTTCCTATAGCTACCTTTGAGTCTGTCTTAGTTATTGCCATGCAGACACACATATAGTTGGTGACTGGCCTTTCTATCCCAGGTTTTAATAGTATAAACAGTCAGGAATCTGATAATTAATAGGTGTTAATTCTTCAGAAGATTTTATCATCTGCTTTCTATTTGCCCACACTGCATTTTAATTAATTGTATTATGTCCACCAGTCTTTGGTTATATCCCTCCCTGTTGGGATAAAGAACAAGTCTAGTACCACTAAAGTCAAGGTAGTGTTTGGTTTTTTAAGGTAATTGGGTTTTTATATCCATCTTTGTCTGATTCGCTCATTGTTTTAAACATTTCTGTTAAACTAACAAGCATTAACTAGATAGTAATATGAAATGATATGACACATTTCCTGCTTTCTGGAATAGAATAACCATCAATGGAGGGTTGTCTAGGGTTGTCATGGTTTTAGCCCTAAAAGCCTCATATGATTGGTCACTGTGGTATTCAGAGTTTTGTAGGGTTGCTAAACAAATTGTTCATTCGGTAAACATTTATTAAGCCCATTTTCTTCCTTGAATTTGGGAGCATCTGGGAAGATGCAGCCTTGATGAGGAATGAATAAGAATTTACCAGAAAGACTGACAATGGGAGATCAGATTTTTAAGCAAAGGAAGCTGCATGCACAGAAAAGCACATAAACATGATAAACATAACATGTCCGGAAAACTGTAAGCAAGTCGGTATTGCTAGAGCAAGAAGAATAAAACACATAGTGGCGAGAGATGAAGCCAAATGGTTACAAGGAGGCAATTTAGAGATCTGGTACAGTCTACTAAGGAGCTTCAACTTTGTAGTTGATGGGGTTCTGGTTTGTTTTTTTATTTTAATTATACAAGTAATGCATTATTCTAAATTGTACTTAAATCCTTATTATGAGACAAACATAGTGTAAAAAGATGATTCTTTCCTGTTGCTATCTTTGTGACTCACAATTCTCATTAAAGTTGGAGTTTGGTAACTCCATTCATATTAAATAATTCATAAATAACTTAATGGTAAGGGGAGCATTTGCCTGGCAGTTAAGTCCCATGTCCCACATGGGAGTACCATAGATTCAATACCCAGCTGTGACTTGTGACTCCAGTCTTCTGCTAATGCAGACCATGGAGGGCAGCAGTAATGGCTCAAGAATTAGGTCCTGACCGCCCATAGGGGAGATCTTGATTGTGCTCCCAGCTCCTGGCTTTACTCTGGCCTTGCCCTAGCTGGGGATTTGGACAGTGAACCAGTTGATGGAAGTGTGTTCTCTCTCTCTCTCTCTCTCTCTCTCTCTCTCTCTCTCAAAAAAAAAAAAAAAAAAAGGTACAGGTTATGGCACAGTGAATTAAGCTGTCATTTGGGATGCCCACCTGCCTTATGGGAGCACCAGTTCAAGTCCTGGTTCATTTGCTTCCAATCCACCTTTCTGCCAATGCACCTGGGAAGGCAGTGGATGATGTTTGGGTCCTGCCACCTATGTGGGAGACCCAGATGGAGTTCCTGACTCTTGGCTTCAGCCTGGCTCACTCACCAGCTATTGGGGATATTTAGGGAGTGAACTCAAAGATGGAAGATATTTTTTTCTTTCTCTTTCTGTCTATAGTTATGCCATCTTTAAGATAAATAAATATTTTTAAAAAGATCACTTGATGACTATCAGCTTTCAGCTTTCTGGCCTGAAGTATTGGTATGTGTTCTTCAGTTTCCTTTCCTCATGGGGAGATTTCTCAGGGCGAGGAGTAATTGGTAACCAATTGCTTGGTATCCTTTCTGATAGTTCAGGCTCCTTTGATTCCCTGACTTCCCATGGTCAGGCAGTTGATGAGGTTCAGTTCTAAATTGAACTCCCTCCCCAGGTTACTACTAAGCAAGATGCAGAGATTCCATGTTCTAATCTGATCCATCAGGCCTCTGGCCTTACTCACTTGGTCTATCTACCCAGAGGCCTCTGAGTGAGATGGCCTGGAAAACATGGTGAGGAGTCATCAGTGGGACAAGGAAGAGAGCAGTTAACCAGAAAGGGAGAAGAGCAGAGTGGGACTCCATGATGTTCGTTGTGTTTTAATTCTACAAATCTAGATGAGACCAAATTTTAGATATAGAGACACAAATCTTCTATTTTAGAAAGATCACTAATGATTCCTATATAGTGATAGACTGGAGAAAGGGAGACCTTCTTGAACTAGTCAGGCATTGCTAATAGGGATACACAGTGTAGGCTTGGTAGGTCAGTAGGATTTGGCAAGTTCATGAATAGTTGGGAATAAATAAAAGAAAGTAAGATAAGTTCCAGATTTCTGACTTGTAAGACAAACTACATTGGTGGGCCTACCAATCAGTATAAAGAATATAGAAGAAAGAGTATGGGTAGGTTGAGAAGTGAGTCTCTTTTCAATATGTGTGTTGTGTATACAGAATGTTGACATTTAATAGGCATATGGTTATATGGGAGCTCCAAACTGTCACTATAGATTTGGAAGTTACTAAACATGGAAAAAACATCAGAAGTGGGACTAAGAGAAACAATCAAAGAGATAGGAAGAGAATAAAAAAAAAATCATGAATTCAAAATAGGCAAGTGTAAAAAGAAAGCAGTCATAGCAACAGATGATGCAGACAAATTACAAGACCAAAGAAAAGAATCTGAAAAGTAAAAGGTCAATGGTGATGGCAGTTGAAGCAAGCAAAGGGTATGGAGCAGGAGAATGAGGGAGTGAGTAGCACAATTAATGCGAAGGAAGTGATAGTCACATCTTTTTTTTTTTTTTGGACAGGCAGAGTGTACAGTGAGAGAGAAAGACAGAGAGAAAGGTCTTCCTTTGCCATTGGTTCACCCTCCAATGGCTGGCGCGGCCGGTGTGCTGCAGCCGGCACACCGCGCTGATCCGATGGCAGGAGCCAGGTACTTATCCTGGTCTCCCATGGGGTGCAGGGCCCAAATACTTGGGCCATCCTCCACTGCACTCCCTGGCCACAGCAGAGAGCTGGCCTGGAAGAGGAGCAACCGGGACCGAATCCGGCGCCCCGGCTGGGACTAGAACCCAGTGTGCCGGCGCCGCAAGGCAGAGGATTAGCCTAGTGAGCCGCGGCGCCAGCCGATAGTCACATCTTTAATTTTTAGTTTATTTTAAGGATGTCAGAGATTTAAACATATTTAAATGCTAAAAGAAAAGAATATCGGGGCTGGCGCTGTGGCGGAGTGAGTAATGCCGCCGCCTGCAGTGCCGGCATCCCATATGGGTGCTGATTGGAGACCCGGCTGCTTCGCTTCTGATCCAGCTCTCTGCTATGGCCTGAGAAAGCAGTAGAAGATGGCCCAAGTCCTTGGGCCCCCGTACCCATGTGGGAGACCCGGAAGAAGCTCCTGGCTCCTGGCTTCGGATTGGTGCAGCTCTGACCGTTGCGGCCAATTGAGGAGTGAACCAGCGGATGGGAGACCTCTCTTTCTCTCACTGCCTCTCCTCTCTCTGTATAACTCTGACTTTCAAGTAAATAAATAAATCTTAAAAAAAAAAAAAAATCATTGGAAAGGGAGAAGTTGAAGATTCAGGAAAGAACCAAAATAATACAAAAGAACATTAGAGGAGATGAGATCAAGGCCATAGATTAGAAGGATTGACCATCCTTGAACCAAAAAATTGAGGACATACTTTTCCTATAATTGAAGGTAAAGAGGAAAGTGAGTGAGTTCATAGGAATGGTAGGACATTAATCTCATTTGAGGATTTTTCTTTTTTCATTGAAGAAGGTTGTTTACTGAGAGAGAATAAGGGATGGATTAAGGCATTAGGAGAATGCTAAAGGTTTATAGTGACAGATAAGCAGAATAGGAGATGTTGCTCTCTGAAGACAAGTTTAAGGACTAACCAACAACATTCAGTACTTAAGTGAGAAGAGCAAACTATACATTTTGCATTCCTACCAAGTGATATGACTGTATGATTTTTGTACTGTAACTTGTGTTTAACTTTCAGGTTAATCAGTAAAAGCAAAATTTTCTATTGATCCAGAATTAGGAATTTATGGGTTAAATATATCAAAAGATCACAAGTAATGGTTATTACAAGGACAGTAGTTTAGATAATTGACCAAGGATCCAGGCCGCTTAGCAAAAAGTAAAATGTGAGGGACACTTGACCTATGAGGAGTAAATTTGAGGGAGGAAATAGAAGCATCACATACTTGAAGGTCTTGTCAAAAGGCAGTTAAGGGCCGGCGCCGTGGCTCAATAGGCTAATGCAGTGCCGGCATGCCGGGTTCTAGTCCTGGTCGGGGCGCCGGATTCTGTCCCGGTTGCCCCTCTTCCAGTCCAGCTCTCTGCTGTGGCCCGGGAAGGCAGTGGAGGATGGCCCAAGTGTTTGGGCCCTGCACCTGTATGGGAGACCAGGAGAAGCACCTGGCTCCTGGCTTCAAATCAGCGCAGTGTGCTGGCTGCAGCAGCCATTGGAGGGTGAACCAACTGTAAAAGGAAGACCTTTCTTTCTGTCTCTCTCTCACTGTCCACTCTGCCTGTCAAAAAAAAAAAAAAAAAAAAAAAAAAAGGCAGTTAAACCCAATCAGAAAGGATTCCCTGCATCTCCCTATATTTGTCTTATTCCTGTAAAACAGGATATTAACAATTTGATGACATTTCTATTTTAATATTTGGGAGTGTGTACTTTTTTTTAAAGATTTATTTTATTTATTTGAAAGAGTTATAGAGAGAGGTAGAGACAGAAAGAGAGGTCTTCCATTTGCTGGTTCACTCTCTAGATGGCCCCAACAGCTGGAGCTGTACCGATCTGAAGCCAGGAGTCAGGAGCGTCTTCCAGATCTCCCATGTGAGTGCAGGAGCCCAAAGACTTGGGCCATCTTCTACTGCTTTCCCGGGCCACAGCAGAGAGCTGGATCGGAAGAGGAGCAACCGGGACTAGAACCGGCGCCCATATGGGATGCTGGCGCTTCAGCCTAGGGCTTTAACCCACTGCGCCACAGCGCCGGCCCCGACGTTTCTATTCTTTTATATAGCCCAAGGTTTCCAATACGTCCACGCTTCATATATCATCTTAATGAGATCATTGGGAGGAAAAGCAGTTGTCAGTATAAGTGGTCTCAGATGTGTATAGCAGATTAATTTTATCTAAGAAACATTTATTTATTACTTTAGTTAGTATGAGACAGTTAGGAAATATGCTAGGTGTTGGTGATATTTAGGTGTAGCCTAATTTCCATAACTATGTATCTTTCATGTTTAATCCTACTATGTGCCTTAAGTCTTAGGTCACCTCAGACTCTCAGTAAAGATGCCAAGAAATTTAAGGAGTACTTTGTCTTACTATAAATTAACTATTTACTTTTTCACAAAAATGTTTTATTTATTTTCATCTACTTGAAAGAGCAACAGAGAGAGAGAAAGTGAGTTCTTCTGACCACTTATTTACTTCCCAAATGCCCGCAACTTCCAGGGCTGGGCCAGTCTGAAGCCAGGAACCAGGAACTCCATCCATGTGTCCCGAGTGGGTGGCAGGAGCCCAAGCAATTGAACCATTCCTTGTTGCCTCCCAGGATGCGATATGAGGAAGCTGGATCAGAAGCAGAGTAGCTGGGAGTCTATTCGTAGCTTGCTGTGCCCACAGTGTTTTCCTCTATTTCTTACTTTTTGCTTTTCTTAGAATTTACTTGTAAGTTAATATAATTAATGTTCAGGGCAGGTGGGTAAGGTGTCTTTTCTAGGAATGATGAAGGTTGATTGAATGTAGAATTTTATTGCCAGTAATTACCTTCTTTTAATATTTCATCCCATTGTTCATACTTTGAGGAATATTTCCTAGCAGTCTCTTAGCCATCTCTTCCTGATGTGAGCAATCAGGCACTTACAAAAGAGTGAGCTGGCTTTTCATTTCCCAAGAGGTAACAAGGCTATAAAGATGATTGAATAAGCTATACATATTTAGATGACTGATTAATCAAAATAATTACTAAATGGTTTCTAGTTTCCTAACATTTTGTGTTATAAATAAATATTCCTCGACATCATGGCAAAGATAGAATAGTAAGCACAGCAAAATGTGATTGTGATCCCTTTAAGAAGTGATTCTCAAAGTATATTTCTCAGAGCAGCTGTATTGGTCTCACATGTGGACTTGTTAGAAATGTAGATTCATGAGCCCTTTACCTACCGAATCAGCATCTTTGAGAATGGGAACCGGGAATCTGTTTTATTTTATTTAAGATATATTTATTTATTTGAAAGAGAGAAGGAAAGACAGAGGGAAAGAGACCTTCCATCACTGGTTCACTCCCCAGATGGCCTCAACAGCCTGGGCTGGGCCAGGCCGAAGCCAAGAACCTGGGCCAAGCCAAAGCCAGGAGCCAGGAACTTCTTTGGAGTTTCCCACGTGGGCAGCAGGGGCCCAATACAGGGGCCATCTTCCACTGCTTTTCCCAGGACATTAGCAAGGAGCTGGATCAGAAATGGAGCAGCTGGTATTCAAACCAGCACCCATATGGGATGTTGGTGTCACAGGTGTACCCAGTATGACACAATGCCAGCCCCCGCAGTCTGTTTAACAAACTCACCAGGTGAAAGTGAAAACCCATCTAAGTTGATAATTGAATTTTTGTGGCATAGGAGATAAAGGCAGTGTGTTGGTAGAAAGGGCTTCCTTCATCATAAAAATTGTTTGCTCAGCTCACAGCTCTAATCCTAATAAATCACTAAAAAAGAGTTTTTGAAAAAACTTATAACTGCCAAGTTGTTATTTATTTTTTATTATGAAAAATGTCAAAATTATAAGAAAATTGAGACTCTACAGTGGTTAACATATACAATTAATTTTACCATATTTGCTTCTTATTTTTCTGCCTGAGTTAAATTAGATATTACATTTGTTCCTAAATACTGCAACAAAATTAAATATTCTCTAGCATCTTCTGAGACCCTGTCTATATTTTATATTTTTTAATTACCTCAAAAAATGTCTTTACAGCTAGTTTCTTCAAACCAGAACTAATCATTGGTTATGGGCTGATTTTATTAGGCCTCTTAAATTTATTTTAACCTAGAACAACCTGTTCCTTTTACCCTCCAACAATAAATATTTAATCCAGCATGTTCTAGGCACTGTTGTTTACCAAGAAATAAAAGAAATGTTTGGTTCAATCCAAAACTGCAGTAGCTGTTCAACAAAAAGCCTAAGGCATTGTACACTGAAGCAGTCAAAAGAAACTGCATGGATAAAAAGACCAGTAAGAGTAGAAACAATAGAGCAAAGGGTAAAATTAGTTTTTATAATTCCTTTAATTTTTAAATTTGTGCTTGACTTTTCAGGTTTAGTTTGGAGGCTGCTGCTGTTACTTACAAAAATAATTGTTTTTTTATCTTACAGTGGGCAAATCAAACTAGCAGATTTTGGACTTGCTCGGCTCTATAACTCTGAAGAGAGGTGAGGTATTCATCAAAATTACATGTGGGGAATAGAAAGAATCCCTTTGGTCTTGTATATTCTAGTATTATTCAAGTTGCAGTAACTCTCAGAGTTTCCTAATCATCTGAATACTTAATACCTAGATTTTTAGTAAATCCTGTCTAAATTCTTGAGTCAGCTTTGGGCTAAATAAATTACTCTAGATTGGAATGAAAGTTATTTTGCAAAGAAAGTTCTTTCTTCACAGTTTAGTTTCAGTCCCTTACATTGCTCTAGAGCTCTTTTAATCTCATCTTTAATTGACAGCTATTCCTATTTCATTTAATTATATGTGAGTATTGTTCATCAGAAGTTATGGTAAATTTATGTCATGGTTATTTTTTACATTTCAGTCGCCCTTATACAAACAAAGTTATTACTCTATGGTACCGACCTCCAGAACTATTACTGGGAGAAGAGCGGTATACACCAGCCATTGATGTTTGGAGTTGTGGGTAAGGCTCTCTTAAGTTTTTGTTTTTTAAGATTGATTTATTTATTTGTGTTTCAAGTTACAGAGAGAGTGTGAGAGACATCTGCTGGTTCATTCTACAAATGGCTGCAACAGCCAGAGCTGTACCAATCCAAAGCCAGGAGCCAAGAGCTCCATCTGGGTCACCCACAGGGCAGGGGCCCAGGCACTTGGGCAATTCTCCGCAGCTTTTCCAGACCCATTAGCAGGTAGCTGGATCGGAAGTGGAGCAGCCAGGACTCAGACTGGCGCCAGTAGGGGATGCTGGCACCGCAGATGGCAGCTTGACCCATTAAACCACAGTGCCAGCCCCAACTTTTCCTTTTGTTGACTTGTACTCTGTTTTTTGCTGCATTGGCCTTTTGTGGTTCTTCTTAAGTTCAAAAGAAAGGAAATCAACATTTGGTCAGATGTCAGAGAAATCAGTTGACTATCTCTAAATAACATACTTTATTTTCTTTAACATTTCCTCAATTTTTTAAAAATTCAAATTGGGAACCAAGTAAGAAATTCAGATAAGATCCACGGATTTAGTTATACATCTCCCTTTCACCTCTCTTGGTTTTGTTTTCTTACAGTTTCCTTACAAGAAACTAGGTCATTTGTCCTACAGTTTTCTCATATTTTGCATTTTTCTGATTGCATCTGTGTGGTGTTTTTTTTTTTTTTTTAAGCATGATTCTTTATCTCTTTCATTTTCTGTAAATCTCATGCAGATTCAGTGCTGATTCCCAACCAACCCTGAAACTACTTTACAGATGGTTTTGAGTACTTCTAAAAGAGGTTATATAATCAGTGATACATAAAAGTTTGGAATAGGGAACAGTGGGTGCCTGCTGCCCATAGTACAGGCAATAAATGAGTGCATTATCTGTGAAGAATTTAAGAAAATAAAAGAATTCAGTGCAGATTAGTTATTTTTTTTATTATGGGTGTACTTGGGCAGTTCTAAATAATGTCTGAAAAAATATTCATTCCTATCAACAGATTTACACACATCATTTTTTGAGCTGTTATTAGTTGATGATTATTGCCCACACTTGTTAATTCCTTTGTGGTTGTTTCATGATGTTCACATTCTAGTCATGTCATTCCTTACTGAAGTATTTATATAATGATAAGTTACCTATTTAGCTAACTGTAGTTATAAATCATATAGAAAAGGTACGATAAATATTTTTTCATTCTATTTACCAGTTTTCAAAATAATGAATTGTTTTCCTAGAGAAATGACCAATGAAAAGGTTTTTTTTTGTTTGCTTTTTAGTTTCATTGTGAACTCATAGATTTAAACATGTTTAATGTGCTATACTCCATTGTGGTTATTATCTTATTTCTGTTCAACTGTATAGCACTTGACTAGTTGGAGCTTAGTCAGATTATTTCCTGGGTCCTTATTTTATTTATTTTTTAAAGATTTATTTATTTATTTGAAAGGCAGGGTTATAGAGAGGCAGAAGCAAAGAGAGAGAGAGAGGTCTTTCATCCGCTGGTTCACTCCCCAAATGGCCGCAATGGCCAGAGCTGGTCCCATCTGAAGCCAGGAGCTAGGAGCTTCTTCCAGGTTTCCCATGCAGGTGCAGGGGCCCAAGGACTTGGTCCATCTTCCATTGCTTTCCCAGGTCATAGCAGAGAGCTGGATTGGAAGTGGAGCAGCTGGGACTTGAACCAGTGCCCATATGGGATGCCGGCACTGCAGGTGACGGCTTTACCCACTATGCCACGGTGCCGGCCCCTCCTGGGTCCTTTTAATACGCCATGGAAGTTGGGCCCATGCTATGGTGCAGCGGGTTAACACCCTGGCTTGAGCACCAGCATCCCATATGGGCTCTGGTTCGAGACCCGGCTGCTCCACTTCCAATCCAGCTCTCTGCTATGGCCTGGGAAAGCAGTAGAAGATGGCCCAAGTCCTTGGGCCCCTGCACCCATGTGGGAGACCTGGAAGAAACTCCTGGTTCCTGGCTTTGGATCAGCGTAGCTCCAGCCGTTGGGCCAGTTGGGGAGTAAACCATCGGATGGAACACCTCTCTCTCTCTCCCTCTCTCTCTCTCTCTCTCTCTCTCCTCTCTCCTCTCTCCTCTCTCTCCCCTCCTCTCTCTCCTCTCTTTGTGTAACTCTGACTTTCAAATAAATAAATAAATCTTTAAAAAAAAATACACCACAGTAGTCTTTGAAAGCCTTTCCTGTATTCTAATTCTAGGCTTATCCTGTGTTTCCTGCCCCAGACCTGTAACAATCAACCATTTCTCTAGAGTCTTAGTTCGTTTTAGTGGAAAACCATATAGCGGTCACAATTTGCATGTTAGGGGCATGGATGTTATAAATAGACCCTATTTGGCCGTGCCATGACTCACTTGGTTAATCCTCCGCCATATGGGATGCCGGGTTCTAGTCCCGGTTGCTCCTCTTCCAGTCCAGCTCTCTGCTGTGGCCCGGGAAGGCAGTGGAGGATGGCCCAAGTGCTTGGGCCCCTGCACCCGCATGGGAGACCAGGAAAAAGCACCTGGCTCCTGGCTTCGGACCGGCGCAGCACCGGCCGTAACGGCCATTTGGAGAGTGAACCAACGGAAGGAAAACCTTTCTCTCTGTTTCTCTCTCTCACTGTCTATAACTCTACCTGTCAAATAAATAATAAATAAATAAATAAATAAACCCTGTTGGATAATTGTTTCTTCTGTTGTATGATTTATGCCTATACACACTCTCCTTGACCTTATACTTTAGTATATGAGTATACTTCTCAGTAGAGCAAATCACCTTTCCCCATTTTTTCTCTTCCTCTATTAATGTCAGTTTTTAAGAGGAGCACTATAGTTTTACTTTAAATTTTAACAGGGTAATGGAGAAAGCATAATTTCTGCAGTAGCCTACCCAGATGAAATGAAGCTTTAGTTAAATTTTACTGACTCAAGCTGAGTGTGTTTATGTTCTGGACTATTTGCTTTGACAGTATTAGCATTTAAATTGTCACAACTAGGCTCTAAAGTTAACGCCCCATTGAGATGCATGGCGAAAGTTCATAGCTCTGTTGGTACTATTATTTGAGTCTGTGCAACCTGCCACCTCAATGCAGTAGCAAAGTGTTGAGTACATAATGAAGCTATCTTCTCTACAGAAGAATTAGAAACTGAAATGAAAGAAAATTAGAAAAACACATTGAAAATTAAAACTATAGAAAATTAAGCCTTTTAAAAAAAAAGATTTGTTTATTTGAAAGGCAGAGAGAGAGAGAGATCTTCTGTCTGTTGGTTCACTCTCCAAATGGATGCAATGGTCAGGACTGGGCCAGACTGTAGTCAGGAACTTCTTCCAGGTCTTAGGTGGGGCAGTAGCCTGAGTACTTGGGCCATCTTCAGCTGCTTTCCTAGGCACATTAGCAGGGAACTGGATTGGACGTGGAGCAGCCAGGATTTGATCCGGTGCCCCTATGGGATGCCAGCCCTGTAGGCAGCAGCTTAACCAGCTACCCCACAGCCACAGCTCTCACCCCTCTTTTTGTTTTATAAATTACCTTTTAAAACATTTATTTGAGAAGCAGATAGAGAAACCACATGCTCTCATGTTCTGTTTCACTTTTGAAAAGTCTACAGTTGTAGGGGCAGGGCTGATCTGAAACTGGAGCTAGAATGTAATCTAGGACTCCCCATGGAAAACCCAATCACTTGAGCCATCACTGCTACTTCCCAGGGTCCACATTAGCAGGAAGCTGGAGTCTGGAGCCAAAGCTGGGTCTTGAACTCAGGTAACGTTGATATGGAATGCTGGTATCTTACTTAACAGCTAGGCAAAATGCCTGACCCATGGTAGTTTCTCTGAGGATAGATATTTTTATAGGATGTTCTTTACAGAGAATTGGTAGGGCAGTACAGTATGCAAATCAGAGGAGAAACCAGAACGACCAGTACAAAAAATTATACCCGAAATTTGAAAACCTGTTTTTTGTGGGGATATTTTTTCTGCCTCTTATTTTACCAAGTGTGACAACACTGTGTTTGGAATTTGATTTGGCAGTTAATGTTGAAAACAATTAAATTTTACTTTTGCTTTTCATTTGTAAGGTTTGAGAGACTATTGTAAGGAAAAGCCTTCCTGCGATGCCCGCATCCCAGATCAGAGTGCCAGTTTGGTTTGAGTCATGCCTGCTTTGCTTCTGATGCAGCTCCCTGCTAGTTGCCTTAGAAAGCAGTGAAGCCGACGCCGTGGCTCAATAGGCTAATCCTCCACCTAGCGGCACCGGCACACAGGGTTCTAGTCCCGGTCGGGATGCCGGATTCTTTCCCGGTTGCCCCTCTTCCAGGCCAGCTCTCTGCTGTGGCTCGGGAAAGCAGTGGAGGATGGCCCAAGTCCTTGGGCCCTGCACCCCATGGGAGACCAGGAGAAGCACCTGGCTCCTGCCATCAGATCAGCGCAGTGCGCCGGCCGCAGCGCGCCAGCCGTGGTGGCCATTGGAGGGTGAACCAACGGCAAAAAGGAAGACCTTTCTCTGAGCCGGCGCCGTGGCTCAATAGGCTAATCCTCCACCTTGCGGCGCCGGCACACCGGGTTCTAGTCCCGGTTGGGGCGCCGGATTCTGTCCCGGTTGCCCCTCTTCCAGGCCAGCTCTCTGCTATGGCCAGGGAGTGCAGTGGAGGATGGCCCAGGTGCTTGGGCCCTGCACCCCATGGGAGACCAGGAAAAGCACCTGGATCCTGGCTCCTGCCAGGATCAGCGCGGTGCGCCGGCTGCAGCGGCGGCCATTGGAGGGTGAACCAGCGGCAAAGGAAGACCTTTCTCTCGTCTCTCTCTCACTGTCCACTCTGCCTGTCAAAAAAAAAAAAAGAAAGAAAAAAAAAAAAAAAAAAAAAAAAAAAAAAAAAAAAAAAAAGAAAGCAGTGAAAAATGGCCCAAATGGCGCTTATACAGGAGACCCGGATGGAGTACTGGGCTCCTGGCTTCAGCCTGGCCCAGCTCGGGCCCCTGCAGCCATTTGGGGAATTAACCCAGCAGATGAAGGATCTCTCCCTCTGTAACTCTGCCTTTCAAATGAATAAATCAATCTTTAAAAAAAAAAAAAAAAAAGACATAAAAGCCTTTTTAGACACACTTTCAGTAGACTCCAGGGATTTCTCTTCTGACCTCTCAATTTTACTATTTCTAGATGCATCCTTGGAGAACTGTTCACAAAGAAGCCCATCTTTCAAGCTAATCTGGAACTGGCTCAGCTAGAACTGATCAGGTACAGCTCTGCTTGTGTTTTAAATGTCCAGGTGTGATAGGTAATCTCATTCTCATTGTCTAACACTTCATTCATCACACTAAATGATTTCATGGTACTTATATACATTTAAGTTTCTCTTTATTCAGTTATGTTCAGCTTCTCTTTTGTCATGTGCTATATATGTGTATGTATTTCACTTAATTTTCAGCCCTTGCCTTCCATATTTTTTATTAGTTTTTCATCAAAAAAGCATGCCATTTACAGGATAGTTTTTTTTAATCATTAGAGTAGATTATAACTAGATTTATTCCACCAATATTTATTGAGCCTATTATGCAACAGATTACTTTTTCTGTTAGACTTTAGGATTTAAAGATAATTAAGATAGTCCCTGCCTTCAAAGAGCAGAGTTTAGTAAGGTATACAGCATGTAAATAGAGCCTTATAAAATAGAACCTATAATAAAAGATTTGGAGAAGGCCATGTGTTGAGATAGAATTTGGATTGGCTTTTTTTCATCAATAAAATTAAAAGGTGAAATATAATAAACATGTAGACATTTTAAAAAGGTAATATGTAATTTATTATTTGTTATGAAATACACTCCTAATTATCTATAAACCTTTTCAATTTTGTGCTCTCTTCTCCCAGTTTCCCCTGTAAGGAAACCACAGGACCAGCTCAGCCCTTTGAAATTAATAAGAACTAAACACAACAAAATCGCTAATGAAAATTTGCATGAGGGATTAAAAACATGTTTTACGAAACTAAAAATGTAGACCATTTTGGATTAGTATGCTAGTATTTTCTCTTTGCTATCTTGTAACCAAGATCTTGTAAGTTCTGTTCTATCTCTTATATCCTTAGAGCAGTAAGGTCATATTTTACCTTTCTGCTTGTCTTCTAACTTAATATTAAGAAAGATTTCCCAGACTGTAGGAGGTAATAATTTCTGTTTCTAAAATCTCTATAATTCATGATGATGACTCATTCATCTGTTTATTCTTGCTGTTTGCTTTGTTTTCAGCCGACTCTGTGGTAGCCCTTGTCCAGCTGTGTGGCCTGATGTTATCAAACTGCCCTACTTCAATACCATGAAACCGAAGAAGCAATATAGAAGGCGTCTACGAGAAGAATTCTCTTTGTGAGTTGTGCAAAAATATACATCTGGTTTCTATGGCTGGCTGGTGTGGGAACTTTACCTTTTTCTGGAATGGAGAATTGGTATTGTCCCAATTTATTATATGATAGTATACCATAGAAGAAATTTAGTTTTTGAACAGTATATTAGTTTTTATCATAGCCCTTTCATAAATTTTCTTCCCTGAAGGTTTTAGATGATAGAATATCATTTTATTTTAAACACTATATAAGTTTTCTCCATATTTCCTTGGATCTTCCCAAGGAAAAAAGAAAATGGAACACTGATTCATTATTTTTGCCTATATTATAGCATTTCTTATGTCCCGTGTGGGAGCAGATCTGATTGCTTCCAACTTCAAATTCCCTTTCCTTGGTTTTGCATAGAGCTAAGAATTCAGAGACCTTTTGACACAAGTTACAAGTTTATTAACTATGGAGTCTTTGTGAACTTGTCTGTTCTCTATTCCTTTCCATAGCATTCCTTCAGCAGCACTTGATTTATTGGACCACATGCTGACACTAGATCCTAGCAAGCGATGCACAGCTGAACAGACCCTACAGAGTGACTTCCTTAAAGATGTCGAGCTCAGCAAAATGGCTCCTCCAGAGTAAGTGCTGATGGCTGTGTACAGTATCACTAAGTTTACCCCTGGGTCTCAGGAGATGAGAAATAATAGTTTTTTTTTAAAGAACTGCAAATAGCAATTAAGTCTCAAATAGAGAGATTTCCTTTATTTTAGGTGATAAGGAGATTTATTTCTTTGTGGTTTTTTGTTGTTGTTGTTGTTGTTGTTGTTTTGTTTTGCTTTTTAAATGAGGAATAGTTTTAGCTAGGATCTTTGCTCTAATTTGACTCAAGCCATCTTCTTTGGTCTGTGGATCCCTGTCACTTTGCCCTGTACAGTAACCTCTTTCAAAGTATTCCTTGGAGTCTCAGCTGCTTCCTCTTAATATGCCTGGGAAAGCGCCAGATGCTGGCCGAAGTTCTTGGGCCCCTGCCCCCAGATGGGAGTCCCAGATTGAGTTCCTCACTTCTGGCTTCTGCTTGGCCCAGGCCTGGCTGTTGTTGCTATCTCGGAAATGAACTAGCAGATGGAAGCTATCTCTTTCTCTCTCTCTCTTTCTCTCTTTCTTCACTCTTCCTGTCAAATAAATAAATAAATCTTTAAATTAAAAAAATATATATATTGCTTGGGGCCAGCATTGTGGCACAGCTGGGTTAAGGCTCTGCTTGTGGCACTGTCATACTATATTGGACTGCCAGTTTGAGTTCCCACTGATCTGCTCCTAACCTGACTTCCTGCATAATTGTGTGCCTGAGAGGGCAGCAGATCATGGACCAAGTGTTTGGGCCTTGCCACCTATGTGGGAGACCTGGATGGAGTTCTTGGCTCTTGGTTTTGTCCTGGCCCAGCCCTGACTCTTTTGTCCAATTGAGGAGTGAGTTAGCAGATGAAAGATATCTCTCTCTCTCTGAATCTGTCTCTTCCTTGCTCTCTCTATGTTGCACTGCCTTTCATAGACATAAATAATTTTTTTAAAAGATTTATTTTATTTATTTGAAAGAGTTATAGAGAGGGGTAGAGACAGAGAGAGGTCTTTCATCCGCTGATTCACTCTCCAGATGGCCACAACAGCCAGAACTGAGCTGATCCTAAGTCAGGAGCCACGAGCTTCTTCCAGGTCTCCCACTTGGGTGCAGGGGCCCAAGGACTTTGGCCATCTTCTACTGCTTTCCCAGGCCATAACAGAGAGCTGGTTCGGAAGAAGAGCAGCCGGGTCTTGAACCGGCATCCATTATGGGATGCTGGTGCTTCAGGCCAGGGCTTTAACCTGCTGCACAACAGCACCGGTCCCTTTATTTTTTTATTTTTTTAAGTATTCCTTATGATTTTTGTTCTTCCCCATTCCATCTGCTTGAATCACCTTTTTCTGTGATGACCATGTGTATCTCATACTTGCAATGACATTCCTAGTCTTAAACAATTATTTATTCTCAAAGAGAAGTGAGAGACAGAGAAAGAGAGATCTTACATCTACTTGTTCACTCCCCAAATGCTGCCAACAGACAGGACTGAGCCAGTCAGAACTCAATCCAGTGCTCCCACATGAGTAGCAAGAACCCAAGGATTTTGAGCCATCATCTGATACCTCACAGAATACACATTAGCAGGAAACTGGATTAGAAGTGGAGGAACCAGGCACTCTGTTACCTGGCATCTTAACCATTGTGCCAAATGCCTCTCCAGGTTACTGATTTTTTTTTTTTTTTTTTGGTTATTGAATTTTGATGTAAAAATATGGTCTTTGAATATGTCTTTTATCAGATTCATATCAACTTCCTGTATTCCATAGGATCTCCAAAGGTTCTACACTCAAATCCCACATGAGATACAGAAAGTATTATCTTTGCATTTATTGCTCATAATGTTCTAGCTTTCATTTCAGATTTTTGGAGAGCATTTTCTTACCTTAATAAAGACTAGGGCCAGCTTTGTGGTGCAGCAGGTAAAGCCAGCATTTACAACACCAACATCCCATATTGGGGTGCACTTTGAGTCCCAGCTACTGCACTTCCAATCCAGCTTTATGCTAATACACCATGGAAGGCAACAGAAGATGGCCTAAGCATTTGGGCCCCTGATATAGGAGACCAGGATGGAGTTCCTGGTTCCTGGCTTTTGCCTGACCCACACCTGACTTTTGCAGACATTTAAAGATTTATTCATTATTTATTTTGAAAGTTGAAGTTACATAGAGGGAGAGACAGTGATCTTCTGTCTACTTGCTGGTTCACTCCCCAGGTGGTCAAAACAGCCAGGAGCTTCATCTGGATCTCTCACTTGGGTGACAGGGGCCCAAATACTTGGGCCGTGGTCTTCTGCTTTTTCCATGTCATTAACAGGGAGCTGCATTGGAAGTGGAGCAGCTGGAACGTGAACTAGCACCTATACAGGATGCCAGCATCATAGGCATAAGCTTTGCCTGTTACACCACAATGCTGACCCCAGCATTGCACTAGAATTTTGATAAACTGAATGTGACTTGAAACACTTTAACTTAAAAAACAAAACAAAACAAAACAAACCTCTATAATAGGAGTTGCACAGAGGTAACTTAATCATGATACAGAAAGATACTTCAAAAACTTCAAAAACTGCATTCTCTTAATTACTTTTTTTTAAAGATTTATTTATTTGAAAGGCAGAGTTATAAAGAGGCGGGGGGTGGGGGTCTTCCATCCATTGGTTCACTCCCCAGATGGCTGCAATAGCCGGAGCTGCACCGAACCAAAGCCAGGAGCCAGGAGCTTCTTCCAGGTCTCCCATGCAAGTGCAGGGGCCTAAGGACTTGGGCCATCTTCTACTGCTTTCCCAGGCCATAGCAGAGAACTAGATCAAAAGTGGAGCAGCTGGGACTCGAACCGGTGCTCATATGGGATGCTGGCACTGAAGGCAATGGCTTTACCCTCTATGCTACAGTGCTGGCCCCTAATTCCATTTTTTTTAAGTGAATTTTTTAAGTGGACAGTGAGAGAGAAAGAGAAAGGTCTTCCTTTTGCCGTTGGTTCACCCTCCAATGGCCGCCGCGCCCGGCGCACTGCGGCCGGCGCACCGCATCTATCTGAAGGCAGGAGCCAGGTGCTTCTCCTGGTCTCCCATGGGGTGCAGGGCCCAAGCACTTGGGCCATCCTCCACTGCACTCCCGGGCCACAGCAGAGAGCTGGCCTGGAAGAGGGGCAACCGGGATAAAATCCAACGCCCCGACCGGGACTAGAACCCGGTGTGCCGGTGCCACTAGGCGGAGGATTAGCCTATTGAGCCGCGGTGCCGGCCTTAAGTGAACTTTTTGAAGTACCCTCACATGTTTCCAAGATTTAAATCACCACCTTTCCTAGACTTTGTAGACGTTAACAAGTCAATATCTCTGTCGTCCTATTTATTCCCGACTGAAGCTTGACCAGTGGAGTTCTTTATTCTTGGTATACCTAGGAAGAACAATATTTGGAATATGAGCGTTTATACAGCAAATATGCCCCTAATAATTAGCAAGATCCTCATTTCTCATTGTGTAAATCTTTTGGACTTTCTCAGACTACTTTCTGCCATGATTTCCTTTTATACTGCTGCTATCTACTTAGTAACTTTCCTGGATATTTTTATGTCTTCCAACTCTTTCCATTCTCGACATCTTTGCTTTCCCATTTTAATCTCTTGCCCATCCATCTACTCAGTGCATTCCCCTTTGTTTTCTTTTTCCAGCCTCCCCCACTGGCAGGATTGCCATGAGCTATGGAGTAAAAAGCGACGACGGCAGCGACAAAGTGGTATTGTGGTGGAAGAGCCACCTCCATCCAAAACCTCTCGAAAAGAAACTACCTCAGGGACAAGTGCTGAGCCTGTGAAGAACAGCAGCCCAGCACTACCTCAGCCTGCTCCTAGCAAGGTGGAGCCTGGGGCTGGGGATGCAATAGGTCAGTGCTGGAATGGGGTCTTTGTGCCTTTAATAAGCACATTTTGGCAGGTTTTGAAGGTTAAGTGCAAGGAGTGTGTGTGTATCTCTTTGTCTTTTAGTTTTTGTCCAGTAGAGTATTATGGAAAACGTTGATGTTCTCATTATGAACAGAAAGAGATAGTCCAGATTTTGTATTTATTGTCCAGAAGGGCAGTCCTTTTAAATTTTCCTTTCCTGGATAAGAAACTCTGTGTCTCAGATGTGTGGCCTAAATCAGTGAATTAGGTAAGCAAAATTTAATTTAAAGTTAGTTATCATGGCTTTCCAACATACATAATTTGGAGTTCTGTTTATGTTAGATTTGATAAGATCTTAGGATATAATCATGTTAAATCACAATTGCTAGATGTGTTAGTTCTCTGGACTGTTATTTGTTCTAAATATTTATAAAGCTAAAGCCATGTCCTAACTGTTGTAACAAAATAGTCCTGTTGCACCACCGATTTTTCTACTACATATGCTCTTCTGGTTCACTTTCCCTTCCCTGCTTACCTATAGCATTGATTCTGGACATTGGACTCATCCAGGAAGCTTTACAAATAAGTACCTTGTAACAGTTGCTGGATCTCTAGGGATGGGACTTGAGACATCTGAATTTTAAAATCTCTCCTAATAATTTTTATGTATAGTAAGGGTTGAAAATCACTGACATTGAAGAATACAGATAAAATGAAACAACTTTTACACACAATGCAGAGATGTTTTTAAGTCCCTGTATTTTTAAGCAAAAGTGTAAAGAATAACAAATTGTGTCATGTGTGTCATGACTTTTTTTTTTTTTTTTTTTTTTGAGAGACAGAGACAGACAAACAGAGAGCTCCCATCCACTGACTTACCCCCCAGGTGTCTGCCATGGCTCAGATTGGGCCAGTCCAGAGTCGGGAGCCAGGAACGCAATCCAAGTCTCCCACCTGGGTGACAGGGACCCAACCACTTGAGCCATCAGCTGCTGCCTCCCAGGGTGTATACCAGCAGGAAGTTGGAATTGGGAGAGGAGCTGGGACTCAAACCCAAGCACTCCAACATGGGATGTGGGCATCCCAAGCAGTGTCTTAACTGCTATTCCAAACACCTGCCCCTGTCGGGACAATTTGAGGCATGAAAAACGAGACATTCAAAATGAACCATCATTTTTTGGATATTATAAGTTGCTTTTACCAGTTGAAGAAGGCAAAGGGCCCTTGCCCTGCCTCGTCCGCTTATGTTGGTTCCACTGTCTATCCACAGGCCTTGGTGACATCACACAGCAGCTAAATCAAAGTGAATTGGCAGTGTTATTGAACCTGCTGCAGAGCCAAACCGACCTGAGCATCCCTCAGATGGCACAGCTGCTTAACATCCACTCCAACCCAGAGATACAGCAGCAGCTGGAAGCTCTGAACCAATCCATCAGTGCCCTGACGGAAGCCAGTTCCCAGCAGCAGGACTCAGAGCCCATAGCCCCAGAGGAGTCTTTAAAGGAGGCACCCCCTGCCCCAGTGGTCCTGCCTTCAGCAGAACAGACAACCCCTGAAGCTTCAAGCACACCAGCTGACATGCAGAATATGTTGGCAGTTCTCTTGAGTCAGCTGATGAAAACCCAGGAGCCAGCAGGCAACCTGGAGGAAAACAACAGTGACAAGAACAGTGGGCCACAGGGACCCCGAAGAACTCCCACAATGCCACAGGAGGAGGCAGCAGGTAAACAGACCGGTCATGAATCTCATTGAGCTCAGGTGCTGTCTGTTGATCCTCTTAAAAATTTCTTTAACATTTTCTTTTTCACATCAATGGCCTCAGTATCAGTTTTCTGTAACCTAGTCTACAGGAGAACTTAACACCAAGTGATGTATTTCTTGCCTGGCTTCTTTTATTTAAGTCTCAAAGCTTCTCAAAGCACTTTTCATATACTGATTGCTTTTCCACTTGCTAGGTAAGTAAAGCCCCTGTTTTCTAATCAAAAAAACCACAATCATAGCTAGCGATACATTTTGAGCCACTGTGTGTGTGGTGGCCAGCTAGTCCTACAACTTGAAAACCTGACTTCAGAACAAACCATTATCACATTGTATTTCTTTACCTGTAGTGGAGTGGATGCTGACTGCCAGAATCTTACGGAAGATACAGTCAAGAAAACCCTAATAAAATACTATTTTAATTTCCTGAAGAATAATTTGGGAATATTTTTAAGTAGGTGATTAGCACCACACATTTCTTTTAAAAAAATAATAGTATATAAAAACAATTCCTCCTGGAAGAGACAGTTGAACGAAACCCCAATTAGGAAGTAAGCATTACATAAAGAGAAAAGGAATCAGAAAAAGGGGAATGTTATACCTGACCTCATAATCACAGCATACAATTTATCAGAGGGAAAAGAAGCTTAAATTCTCAATCAATTTTGATTCATAATCTGTTTGTAAAATTTTTATTTATCTGAAAATGTTTTCAACTTCTGAGAAATTTTCACTGTCCATGAAGACCCCATGAATTGGGGAATAAGAAGAAGCACGAGGGCTGAAGAGATACTAACCTTCAACTGTAGGGTCCGACACTCTCATTTCATAAAGGATGGCGCCAAAAGTATATGCCTTCTTTTCACTGGTATAAGGTCAAATACATAAGCTATTTTTTCTATATCAAGCTTTTGAAAACTGGAAAATAACATAAAGAAATTTAACTCTTTACACTTAGAAAAACTGCAGTCCAGGGAATAATCTGCCTGTGGTCCTACATGCTGGTTATTGGCAGAGAGACCAGAACAAGAACTCATGTACTCTTGTTTCTTAATTCACTTTGGTATTCTGTCATGATGATTCTAATTATTTTTTAAGTTACTCTGGGACATAGAGTAACAGAAGAAGCTAACTTGAATTAAAGTAGGCCTTTTTGTCTCATTTCTCCAGACTCTGACCCCCTGGCCCTCCTGCCCCAAATTCATCTCTAATCAAAAATTTGGAAGAAGTACGTTAAAATAAATAGCATAGTGACTGAAAGAAATTCACCCAATAATTAAGCCAACAAACTATCAGCCAAATGGTGAAATTGAGCTAAAACTAAAGCCCGACCTGTGACCAGAAGTTTTCACAATAGAGTGTAATGGTGCCATACCTGATTATTGTAGTCACCCTTAGATTATCCAGCTGGTATCTTCCCTGTTCTTATTTCTCCCTTGCTGCCTCTTACTTGGCCATGTCACTGTTCATTAGCACTTCCACCAGAGGGCAGACTGTATAAACCAGAGAAAGTGACAACCTCTCTCTTTGGCTATTGTTTAATTATTCTGTACTTGTTGGGAATGGGTGCTGGTTGAAATCTAATAAATCAAATGAAGTTTTAAAGTTATTTTTACAATTTATTAATCCCTCCATTAGACTGCTAGGGATTGGGCAACATAGCTGCATATTTTTTAGTTTATTTATGAGAGAGAGAGAGAGAGACACAGACAGACATCCCATTTACCAGTTCGCTCCTCAAATACCCACAACAGGTAGGACTGTGTCAGGTTGAAGCCAGGAACTGGAAATTTAACCTGAGTCAGTTTCCTGAGCTGTTACTGCTACATCTCAGGATCTGTAGCTAGGAGCCAGAGCTGGGTATTGAACCCAAATACTCTGACATGGGACACAGGCATCTTAACTGATGTCTCAGCTGAGGTAGGCTGAATGTCTACCCCAACACTTTCAATCTTTATATAATTTGTATTTCATAGTTTATATCTAATTCCTTTAAGAAGTTTTGTAACTTTACCTTAATAAGGTAATTTTCAGTCTATCTGCTTTACTACTTTGGATTAGAATTTTCATTTTATACTTTGAGCCCAAGATTTAGCCCTAATTAGACTATTGACATTAAAGGCAGAGTTGTTTAAATATGAAATCAAAATAGCTGGGAGAATATAAATTTAGATTGGACCACTTTTGCAGCTATTCATTTTCATAGTTAATTGCCCTCAGTATTAAGAAACCTGATGTTCGATTTGTGTATCATCTAAAAATACTTTTTAAAAAGACTGGTAATGTGATCTCCTTACGTACAAGATGTGTAGTGTTGACAACAGAAGGTTCTGAATTCTACTGATGCTTATAGTCAGCCCACCTTATTCAGCATGTCTGCTTTCCAAGTTGTGACTTTTCCATAGCTAATTTTTGTCCCTTAAATTCATTTTCCTTTGCTGCCCAGTCAACTAACCAATACAGTCAACAAGTGATTTGGGTAGGTACTTATATATAGGGTAGCCAATTCATTCTTGGATTGTCCTGGTTTTAAAACTGAAAGTCAAAAAAAAAAAAAAAGAAAAAAAATCTGAAAGTCAGCAACGTGATAACTCCCCTCAGTCCTGGACAGACTGGAACCATTCATCACCCAACTTGTATGGTGCCCATTACACCTGACCTCATCCCTCTACTGCACACCCTTACAATTTTGTAGTGTTTTTGGAATGCTCTCATCCGCATGCTAAGGGAATGCAAACCTATTTACTGATTATCTTTGCAAAATATAATTAAGGTAAATGTGCTAAAAAAAATACCTACTTATAACTCAAAACTGTTTTTGGTTTGTCTGATTAATGACTTCACATCACTAGCTCAAATAATGAAAGAATGACTGTATAGATATTTTAAAATAATCTTCCATTGAGAAAAGAAAAATTGGCCACTTGGAAGATATCTCAGCAGAGTCATCCCAATTCTCTAAAGGCACTGTTCAGACTATACTCTTGTTTTGTGTGTCCTCCAGCTCAGCCATCTTATGTCTTTCCTCTTCTGCCTTGGCAGGAGTTCATTATCAGACAGTGATTGCTGTGCTTCAGCACATTTAGACAGCAGTGGGAAGAAAATGTCTGGGGAAGTCAATGAAGAAAGACAAAGGTCTTCATAAAGATAGAATATAGTATTAGTTCAATACATTTCTAAATACTGAGTTCTTAAACTCTCTCCAAGACAAATAGGTATTTATCAACAACCCGTTCTGCATGATACCTCGCTATCGTGATATTTTTCCATAGCATGGAAAAAATCCAGGAGGTAGGAAAACAAAATAAAAAACTGTGATAGAAGATGACTTCAGTCTTTATAATTACTCTAACACAGGAAGCTGAATGACAGTGTGATGGTTAATATTCCTTTCTTGAGAACATGATTATGGTGAGAGATGACTGAAATTTGGAGAAGCAAGTATATTTTTATACATAATGATAATGAAAAGTTTTTATTCTCTTCTGTGTATTCTTCAAGTTCTATTTCAGGTTAACCTTACATCATCAAACATTCTGTAAAATGTATTAGCCAAGTCCATGCAAGGTCTCCGTTGTACAGCAAGATTATGTGCTAGAAATATGACCACAGCATGTATATTGTTCCCTCTCATTTTTTTTTCTGTTTTATTTTCATTAATGTCTTTAACAGCAAAAAGGGATCAGGAGGCTGCCAACAGCCTATATATTAGAACAGTTTTTTAAGGAAGGAAATGGACGAGATCTCAGTCAAAAATCAGGACAATCACTTGAAATATATGATCTTTTTATACCAGCTGTTAGATCCAGAATACAACTGTTTTACTTTTATTCACTTTATTTTATTTATAAATTGCAATTTCTTGATCCCAAAATTTTATTCTTTATATATCCAGTTACTTGTATTGATATTTGTTTATGTTGGGCAGTGTGTGTGTGTATGTGTGTGTGTGTGTCTGTGAGTGTGTTATCTGTGTGTTTGTGTTTATAATCACATGATTTTTATGATGGTGTTTAAAAGAAGTAACCCTTCCACAGCATGTCCTCCTCACATTCTTCCACCAGAGAAGAGGCCCCCTGAGCCCCCCGGACCTCCACCGCCGCCACCTCCACCCCCTCTGGTTGAAGGCGATCTTTCCAGCGCCCCCCAGGAGTTGAACCCAGCCGTGACAGCCGCCTTGCTGCAACTTTTATCCCAACCTGAAGCAGAGCCTCCTGGCCACCTGCCACATGAGCACCAGGCCTTGAGACCAATGGAGTACTCCAACCGGCCCCATCCAAACAGGACTTATGGAAACACTGATGGGCCTGAAACAGGGTTCAGTGCCACTGACACTGATGAACGCAACTCTGGTCCAGCCTTGACAGAATCCTTGGTCCAGACCCTGGTGAAGAACAGGACCTTCTCAGGCTCTGTGAGCCACCTTGGGGAGTCCAGCAGTTACCAGGGCACAGGGTCAGTGCAGTTCCCAGGTGACCAGGACCTTCGTTTTGCCAGGGTCCCCTTAGCATTACACTCAGTGGTCGGGCAACCATTCCTGAAGGCTGAGGGAAGCAGCAACTCTGTCGTACATGCAGAGACCAAATTACAAAACTATGGGGAGCTGGGGCCAGGAACCACTGTGGCCAGCAGCTCAGGAGCAGGCCTTACCTGGGTGGCCCCAGCTCAGTCTTCTGCTTATGGAAAACTCTATCGGGGGCCTGCAAGAGTTCCTCCAAGAGGGGGAAGAGGGAGAGGAGTTCCTTACTAACCCAGAGACTTCAGTGTCCTGAAATATTCTTTCCCTATTCATCCTTCCATCCAGTCCTCAAAACCTTTAATGAAATCATTTGCCAGAGGGAGGTAGTCATCTGCATTTGGCTAGTGCGAAGCTGTCCAGTGTATTTCTTGCTCACTTGCTAGAAGCAAGTGACCTATAAGGATGTTGGCACCAGTTCCTCCTGGATGGGTGACAGCCAGAATTTCAGCTCTACCTAGTAGATACAGTAGAGAATGTGAAAAAGAGTCATTAAATTAAAAAGCAAATGTTTTATTAGCTATTGACTGCACTTCTTGAGCAGAAGAGAGAACAGTTTCAGTTTTGAGATGGCTCAGGAGAGGATCCATTTGGTTTTTAAAGTTTTGGGACTTTTTTCTCTTTTGGTGGTTTCTTTTAAATTGTAGATTGGGTTGTTTTTGGGTTTTGGGGTTATTTTCTTTTGAAGAGAATAGTGTTCACAAAATTTGAGCTGCTCATAGGCTTTTGTTAAAAGGAAAACAGAGTGGCCTGGCTGATTGAAATAAATGTTTTCTTCCTCTCCACCATTTCACATTTTTGCTTTTAAGTGAACACATTTTTCCCCATTGAGCATCTTGAACACATCTTTTTTCCAAATAAATTACTCATTCTTATAGTTCCCTCCACTTTGAAAAAAAGATGTGCCCCTCTCCCTGCACATAAACCAGGTTGTAGAAGGTGGCATTCTTGGGCAAGTAGGTAGACTTACTCTATCTATTTCTGTTTTTTATTTATATTTATATATTCTCTCCTTCCCTCTTACTCTCCTCCTACCCTCTCCCATCCTCCCTCTCTCCCCTCCCCCTTTTCCTCTCCATCTTTGTTTCTCTTTCTGCCTCTCCTCCATTCCCTCCCATTTTGAGTAATTTGTTTGGAAAAAAATCATTAAGATGCCAAAGAACCTGGAATAATTCTTTTTTTTTTTTAAATAAAGGAAAGGAAATTCAAACTCCTACATTGTTCTTTGTAAAATGTTTTTTAAAAACCATGTTCTGATGGGGAAGTTGATTGTAAATGTGGACAGCCTAGGACTTTGCTGTTGAGCTGTGGTTAGAGATGAAGCCTCCAATGTAGAGGGCTAATAAGAGCAGTTAGTATATTGTTTACACATATATTTTTATGTCCAAAAAAAAAAAAAAAAAAACCTTTCAAACCAAGCATTGTGATATTGTCAAAGAAAAAAAATACATCCTGAAAATATGTGGAAATGTAACCTAGTTTAGGGTGGGTATTTTTCTGAAGATACCTTTTATAAGAGATAGTTTTAAAACAGCTTATTGAGAGAAAGAACAGTATTGACATATACACATCCCAGCCATGTATATCCTGCCAATTCTTTTAGAGATTTTTCACTGGAGAGATTTGGTTTTGGTTCTGGTGGTAAAGGGGGTTAAAGTATGACTTCCTGGCAAGAACTTGGCCTTATTATAAACAGGAAATGGAAAAGAGAACGACTCTCAGGGTTGAATAATTTGGGAGGCTTCTCGTTCTGTCTTCCATTTCTTCGTGAGTACCAGCATACAGAATGTGACATGTCATACAATCTGTCTGCACAGACTTATTGCATGAAGCTTAGGTTAGCTCTCTTACAAAGAAAAGGCAAAAACATACTTCAGCATCTTGGAGGATAGTTTCCAAAACCTAAGTAAAGGTTTGTGTTGCAATGCCAAGTTCTTATATTAAATAAAATCTGCGTATAAGAGAAAGGTGCATCAATTAACAAAAGAAAACTTTATAAAGAAAAGAAGAACCCACTTCAGATACTTACATGAAGACTTTTCCCGTGAATCGTAATAGGTAGTTACTGGTGTGTGTATTTCTTTATTATTATTTGGTTTTTGGTCTGCCCTTGCCCTCGGGGCCAAACATCGATTAGAAAGAGAACCTAGCCATTTTGGCGTTGGTGACTTTTTATGCAAGTATGTCCAGTTAGATTTGCCAGGCACACTGAAATGCTATTGGTTAATTACAATAAAGTTCATCTGAATCTTCTGTCGACTTCTGAATAGTCTTCAGATGTGGGCCTTTATATTTTAGAATATTTCAATTAGAGGGCTTGGGCCCCAGTCCCCTGTTTTTGATTAAAGAGCCTGAGCCTCAGATACTTTCAAAAGTATCTGTTCAGTGAAAAAAATTGGTTTCCCACCAGATATGAATAAAATTTTATATGTTTTCATTGTATTTTGGTTGTCAACAATCATCAATAATTTTCCCCCTCCCTTTTCTACCCCTAATTTTTAATTATGCCAAATATTCTAAATAATATACTTAAGCCTCCATTCTCCCATCCCTGCTAGGGATGGATGTATGTGTGAGTGTGTGTATGTGTATACATGATTCCATCTCACCCCACCCCCATTTGGGGAGTCTTAACTTTTAAAAGGAAAAAGGAAAAAAAAAAGCAAGTTTGGTAATTTGACTGTTTCTAAAACCAGAGAAAAAGAGAAACTCCTTTAATATCCTGGAATCTCTGTGGAGGAAGAAAAGGTATTTGGTCACTTTTCAGCCATGTTATCTATAAATGTGATGGAAGTAAAGGTTTGGCAGAATTTCATCTTGGCTCTCTGAAAATTACAAACCGAATTAATTCCATTCAAAAGTGGTTTTGGTTTTATTTTAATTGTACCTTGGAAGATATCAAGGCTATTAAATACATTATTTTGAACAGATGAGAAATCTAATTCTGTTCACGAATAAGAGGCAAAACTGGTTTGACCATGATCATTTTTGTGGTTTTGAAACAAATTTGCTTGACCCAGTTGTTTTTATTTTTTTTTCTTCAGCTGTCCATAGAAACAATAAGGATTTGAAAATGACATCAGATCTATATGTTTAAAGCAGGGCAGTTAGCACAAATTTGTAAGTAGGACTTCTGTTAGCTTATGCCATAGACATCACCCAGCCACTTGTATGTGTGTATGTATATAATATGCATATATAGTTACAGTGCTACAATGGTTACCAGCAGGTTTTGAGAGAGAATGCTGCATCAGAAAAGTGTCAGTTGCCACCTCATTTTCCCTGACTTAGGTTCCTGACACTGTATTCCTTTCTCTCTCTTGTTTTTGCCCCCCATCGGGTGTACTTTGTCTATGTACAGATATTTTGTAATATATTAAATTTTTTTCTTTCAGTTTATAAAAATGGAAAGTGGAGATTGGAAAATTAAATATTTCCTGCTACTATACCACTTTTGCTCCATTGCATTTCCTTCTTAATCTGTACTTTCTGAGCATATCTGATCATGTATAAAGGGCATTTTCCTCCACTCTTTCTTAGGGGTTCTCCATCTCAAAATTGCTATAATCTCATAAACTGCAAAAACTAAGTTTTCAGGGTTTGAAGAGGTACTTGAAAAGACTAGGAACTAGTGAATTTTTAAATGAAAGAAACTGTAAAATGCAATTTCTTTTAAAAGTAGAAAACAGTTACACAAATAATGGTGGCACAAAGCCACTGAGAGTTGAGCATCATGTACCCTGACTCCTCCTGACAGGAGAGGTAAGTGGGTTTGAGCTCAGCTGTCTTCAGGGGAAGTCGTTAAAAGACTGTTTAGACCCAAAGGATAGTCTCTTAAACCCGATTCCCCACCCAGTTCCCATGTTCTAGAACAGGGTCAGCCTGGGGATGAGTATACTTAGGTTGATGGAGATTTCCTGATGCATTGCCAACCCTGGAAATAAATCAACGTTGTTTAAAGTTAAAATTCTTATTTTTTCCAAGATTGATCCCAGCTCCATATGAGGAGATAATTGTTTTCCCTTCCCTTACATGGCTTAGAACACAGTATAAACGTTCCCATGCAGTATGTGTGGCAATGCTGCGTGTTCAAAGTAGTTAGAGGGCAAATAAAATCCATCAGGAGAAAGGAAGAGGGGAGATAGGCGTATCTGGAAGCTGTAAGTGGGGTAACTGAGTCATAACAAGGTTAAGGAGTACTCCAGAACTAGGGAAATTAGGAGGAAGTTGATTCAAAAGCTGGTGGTGATAAGGGCCATGTCAGCCTGTTTTTGAATCCTCAAAGTTTGTATGGTGTTCCATTGCCTGTCGGCTGTCACATCTTACCCAGAAGGAGAGTTGGATTGTTCTATAGAGTATGAACTTCAACTTACTAGAGAATATGGTTCTCACTAATTCGCACTTGCTGTCTTCAATTCTGAGCCTAAAGACCAAGAACCTAGTAACCTAGACTTTTTGTCTGTCACACCCAAAGCCATTTCTAACTAGAAACTGCTGTTCAAGTACCTAAACTTCTTAGGCACTGTTTTCTCCCAGACAGGCATCCTTAATTTTATGGTAGGTTAATGCCTCGTGGAAGTTACCAGTTAATGCTCTTGGTGCTAAACTGGGATTTTTATGATTAAAGATGGCTCCATAGCTTGATTTTTTTTTAAGCTATTGAGTCGTGTCTCTTCACAACTTAGTCATTCTGAAGGGCTGCATGGAATGGGAATGGGGAGTTCCTCAAGTGAGGAAATACTCAACTGTTCCATGGGAGAGGCAGTTCTGCTGTCCTCTGGTTGTCCGAGAGGCAAGGTGAGCGTTCCTGGACTCTGGTTAATTTTATTGTCCAAGTATGGCATTCCTCCTCTGTAGACACATGGTGTTTCTGTAGTCTTGGGAATACTCTGGATAAGTGTGAGGTTACTCCAAGCCAAGGTTGGAGACTGGGGGAGCA